AGGCAGATGCAGGCACTTTTCCAGAGCTCCTTAATCCAGCCTTTCAGGCTCACAGCCTGCCCAGCCCAGGGCTCCTTCTGCAGGCCCACCCACAGACACCTGTCCTTGCAGAAGGAAGCCATGTGGTTCTCACTAGTGGGGATACTACAGAGGCCTCAGATACGTCAAGTACAGGCAAGGCAATAACAACAGCTCCCACTACACAGATTTCTGCCAAAAGGAGATTCCAATCATTCACTAACCAAGCTTATCTGTGCCCCATCCTTACATGATGCTGAGCCTAAAGACATGTGGGTGGAGAGTAGAATCGTTCACCCACCGGCAAATCTTTACTGAGAAATTAGGAAGAGGTACTGTGCCAGGTGCTAGGTATGGATCCTGCTGCCAGGATGTCATAAAAACCTATACACAAGCCACCAAGTCAGAGCTACATAAAATATGGACTCTAGACCAGCAGTAGCCTCACTTGGGAGCTCACTAAACATGCAGATTCTCAGATACCCTCCCCAAGACCAAAAGAATCAGCAATTCTGGGGGGTGGAGCCTATGAATCTATTTTAAAAGCTTGGCAGATGATTGACAATGTGTATGTACATAGATTAGAAGGGATTCTTCAACTTCTCTATTGGAGACTGCAAGACAGCCCCAGTCCCTGGCTCCCTTGATATGCTTCCATACTTCCTGTTTCTCCAAAGTTGTATTTCCATCAATCATAGAATCGTATGCGTCGCCTGTATCTTCATGACTGTATCTTTATGACACTGGTGGGGAGCTTCTGAGGGCAGCAATTTGAGTCCCTTGTCCTCAAAGCTGTAGACTCATCAGCTGCCTCACACCCTGCCCAGCACAAAGATGTGTTCAGTAAGTATTGGTCCATTGAATGATGACTGTCAGAACATGACATACTTCACACTATTCTTGGGCAAGGATGGGGGGGGGGAGTGAGGGAGAGAGAGAGAAAGGGAGAGATGGAGGGAGAGAGAAAGAAAGGGAGAGAGAGCGCTGCCAGCAATCAAGCTCTGCCTGGGAAAGGTGGTCTCAGGTTGGCCTTGAGGATGTTCCAACCTGGGAGATGTCAAACCTCTCAGATGGTTTATACAACTGTTATTTGATTAGCAGCAGGGTACCTACCAAGCCCTGTCCTAGCTACATTCCTTAGCGTAACTCTGCTGAACCCCAGAGTTAAGTATTATCCTGGCTGGGGGGAGGGGGGGCTGTCAAAACTCAGTGATATTAAACAATTTGTCCTGCCCACAAACTTCCATCAGATTTTCACAGCAACTTTATTCCTATCCTCTGCAGCCTGGAAGCAAATCTAAATACCACTAAGCAGGTGCATAGACAAACCAATAATGCTACATTCATACAACATAATACAACTCAGGAATGAAAATGGACAAACCACACAATCATACACATGCACATACAACACAGATGAATCTTGAAGACAAGCTGAAGATATAAAAACGTTCATGCTAATGTGAAGTTAACATACAATTCATGTACATTAAGTAAAGCATTGGTAATAGAAAGCTAAGAAAGTAAGAAGTTGCCCAGGGAGGGAGGGGCTAGGGGGCTCACTGGGAAAGGGCACCAGGGAGATTCTGGGATGATGGAAATAATCTGTATTGAGATTGGATTGCTGGTTGCACGGACGTTTGTATTTGTCAAAATTCCTGGCAATGAATACTTAAAATCTGCATTTCATTGTATTGGCATACCTCAATTTAAAAATTGAGCTAAATATCATTTGTCCTGAGACACAGAGCTACAAATGGAAATGTGAAATGAGCTACACACCCAATTCCAATGACGGGCAAAAGTCTGCCAAAGTTGAATGGAAGCTCCCTGCAACCTCCACCCCCAGCCTGGTAGAGTATCTTGCCAAAATCTACACTAAGGACAGTCATAGTTTTCCTAAGATGGAGGTCACAGTTCCAAATCCCTAAAGTATGACAGGAAAATCAAATTAGTGCTCTGTGCAAAGTTTAAAAATGTGGGTTCAGGCCGTGGCTCTGCTCTTCAGTTGCTATACAATCTGTGAGTATACTGCTCCTTGACTCAGTTTCTGCATTTATGAAGCAAAGAAGGAAGGGGAACAATGGATACCATCATGGAACCCCAGATGCTAGGAGCCACTGGAACACAAGCCCCTATGTCCACCAAACACTGTTAGTACACTAAATAACACGCCTGCCTCAGAGCTGATAAGCAATTTTTCCAATGCAGGCTAATGTTATTGTAATTAATTTTTAAGAATGCATGCCTATTTCAAGGCAAAAATAAAACCACAGAAGCTTTTGGTCATTGTGTATTTTCTCAGACAAAAGACACCCAAAGAACAACCCCTGCTCATGACTTTGGTATAAAGAGGCTGGGAATCTCTTTGTAGAGGATTGCTAAGGGGACTGTCGCCAAGGGGATGGTCGCCAAGGGGACCAGCGCCAAAGGCCCTTCCAGGTCAACTGCCCCATGGCTGCTCCAACCACCTGGTGACATGCTTGCCCTTGTGCCAAGGCCTGGGTCCTGTGAGATAAGCCTGTTGGCTGGTCTTCAGGAAAAGAGTCCCAAGTGTATATCTGTATCTTGGACCTCAGTTTCCCCTGTAGCTCTGAAGCATCCAGTTGTAAAGGTAGAGCCTAAGCGTTTTCCTCCTCAATGGAGCCCCAGAACCATCACCACTGAAGACCACTTGTTAACTGCAACCTGCAAGATGTGGCTCCCAGCTGAGCCAATGGCTCCCCACCCCCTCTCCCTCCTAATCCCTGGGAGGCTGAAGGACTGAGCAACAGAGCCCTTATTCAAAAGCACAAGGTCAGACCTTCCTTGTACACATCCTGGAGGGTCCAACTGGGCCCCCCCTACTCTGAACACATCCTCAGCTAAGGGTCCTGGATGGGCCAGAGGTCCTGGATCACAGACAGAAACCACAGTTGAGTCCCGGGCTTCTTTCTCAAGCCCTCCCCTCCCAGGCCCTCCCTGCAGCTTTTCCGGTGGTTCTGGTGCTGAGTCAGAGGTTTGCAAAGCTTCAGAATAAAGCAAGGGCCTGGACAGAGTCCTGCCACCCTCAAAGGCTTGGTGGGACAGCCCCAACTCTGGTAGGGTTTACAGAAACATCACCCCAAAAAGAATGCTCTGAGTTAAGCCCCTTACCCCTCTGCCCTTCCCGGCTTTTAAATCACAAATCCCAATGCAGGCCCCCTCCCCCCCAAAAATGGAGACTCAAAACTACCTTGCCCACTTGATGTTTTCAAACACAACAAGGCCAAAGATCGAAGATGAACAGCTGCCCCCCCCCCCCCGTTCCCCCCAACCAATCTCCTCCTTCCTGGAAACTCCATTGGCTACTTTCAATCTGCTTTCTCTCCTTCAGAATGAAGCACGCGCGTCCCCGCCTTATTTCAAGGGTACCATCCCCCCGCTCTCGGGCTGCTAACTTTGCTGGACACTGGACAAAAGATCATCATCAGCAGACTCCTGACAACCTGCCCCCCTCCCCGGGGCCACCCAGGCCGCGGTGGTCCGGCCTCTCCCCATGCCCTCCCCTCGCCGGGCACGCACGTACGCAGCTCCCCTAGGGCCTCGCCACGCACTTAGGGAGGCCCAGCCCCAGGGCCCAGCGATCTACGGTGGTGGGGCGCCGGACACTCACTCCGCTCCCCCCTCCCCGCTCTCCCGCAGCACCCCAACCGCAGGGACTAAGGAAGGAACCAGTGGGAAGGGGACAGACCCTGAGAGGGTCTCTGATCCAACCGCCCGACGCGCACTCACCTCGCTGCGAAGCCCGCGCGTCTGCGCCGGGGCCGCGGAGGGAACCCACACGAGCGGTTCAATCCGGGCTCCGAGTGACGAAGAGCCGCGCTCGGCTCCGGCTGGCCCCGGATCACGCACCGACCCGCCCGACGCACAGACCGTCTGGTTTCCCAACTAAGTTTGAAAGTTGCCTCCCCGGGAGGGTAAGAGGAGGCGGAGGGCCGAGCGTGGTTCCTAAACCATCCCTTCCCTGCTGCCGGGCTCAGCAGCCTCAGCGGGGAGCGGGGAGCCGACGCCTCGGGTCCCGAGTGGGAGCTGGAGCGCAAGGACGCGCGCAGGGCGCCGCGCAGCTCGGACGGAGCTGCGTTGCGGGGAGGCGGCGATCGTGGGCAAGTGGGGAGGGGGGAGGTAAGCCAATTGCGGGAGCCCCAGCCTGGAGGGATGCTCGCCCGCTCCCCGCTCCCGGGAGGGAACCGGTCTTGATTTAAGGCCATGGCCAGCGCGGAATCCGAAGCGCCGCGGGGCCGGGATGGCCAATTAGTAAACCGCCCAATTAGCGCGCCGTGAAGTTAAAAGCCCCGACCGGCGCGCACACGAGTGTGGGTGAGGTGCGGGCGAGGGTGACGAGTGTGCGCAGCCCTTGTGGATGTCCCCGGTGTGCGACCACGGCCCTCCAGGGGTGGCCGGGTGCGTGGACAGTGCGCGCTTGGGTGCGTCTTTGTGAGCGCGAGCCTTGGGACGGTCGGAGCGACTTCTTTGTGCGTGACCGTCCCCAGTTGGACGGAGCGTGAGCAGACGCGGGTGTGCCCCGCAGGTGCGCGCTGGTGCAAGGCCGCACGTGGGGGAGCGGCCGCGTGTCCCTGTGTCGAAATGACCGCGAGGCTGCCTGGTGCGGGACGGTGCGCGGCTGTCGGTGTGACAGCGGGTCGCCCCGCGCGTCGGCTCGGGGAGGAGTGTGCGGCGTGGGCGAGGGTGTCACGGCGGCGGTCGGGTGACTTCTGTCTGTAATCCGAACCCCGCGTGGGTGACCGCGAGGGTGTGGGAGGGGAGGGAGGGGGAGCGGCACGTGCCCGTCGGCGGGGTTATGCGTGCGTCACCCTCGGGTGCGTCCCCCAAAGTGCCCGCGCCCCGCACTCTCTGGCCCGGGACGCTGGTTTCAGACCCTGGCCGGCAGGGCGGGGGGGTTGGGTGTCCCCCGAGGCGCGGGCCCCGCCTCGCCCGCTCCCCGCACACCCCCTCGCGCCTACCTTGCCGCAGTGATAGTAGTCCAGGTGCGCCAGGCCGGCCGGCTCGGGCCCGGGCCGTGCGCCCACCGCGGGCGCCGAGGGGTACAGGCGGACGTCCATGGCGGGCGCGGCGGCGGCGGCTCCCGCGGGCAGTGCCTGGGCGGGCGGCGGTGGGAGCCCAGTGCGAGCGCTTGTGCGAGCGCGGGGGGCGGGCCGGGGGCGGGGCCCCGCCGAGGACCCCGCCCCGCCCCGCCCGCCCGCGCGCTATTGTTCCGGCCTCCGGCGCTCCCGAGGGCAGGGGCCCCGGCCCGCTGCAGAGGTCTTTCACCCCGGTGCAGTGGCCACCCAAGCCCCCTTAGCCCCAGAGGGTGGGCAACGGGTAGACGCCCCTTCCCTGCCATCCCTTTCACTCCCAGTGGCGAGGGGGGAGGAGAAGCCGGTACATCCCTCTCTAAAAGTGGGACGTTCTTCACCCCGTTCAATGTGGGGACGGCGCTAACCCCCACACGCGGGGTGGGGTGGGAAGAAGGTGAAGACAGAAACACTTCCCCAGACCTGTTCTGCCTTACGAGGGTGAAGTGGGTAAGAGCCGGCCCAGTGCCCCAAGCTGATTTGGGCGTGTCGTTCCTGAGTTAAGGCTAGAGGGGCGCGCATAAACTTTAGTAGTTTTACTTGTGGAGAAACTGAGGCAAGGATTTGGGCCGTGCGAGCAGGCTCCACTGCTTCTAAAAGAGACAAAGGGCTTAGGAGAGGTGAAGCACCCTGTCCCCTTTAATGGCGGGGAGGGGAGGGCGGGAGCTAAAGATCCAGAGCCCCAAGCAGGGTGTGGGTCTGGAATCTGCCTCCACTCAAGATGCCCTGGAATGAGAAAGGGGAGGAAATGGAATAGTTCTGGTGGCAGGCCAGAGAAGTGACTGCAAGGTAGACGTGCCCCCTATGAAAAGAAAAGAAAAAGGCCCCCAAATTCCTCACTTTGCTCCTCCCCTTTCAATCCAAGAAAGTACACTAGCATTCTCAATTCCCTCATGTCCTACCCTCTGTTCTCTGGATTCTAGGCTCCTGGCTCCGGGAGATTTCCAGAGCCTCTGGAATACCCTTGAGACCTCCATGGGAAAGGCCAGGAGGCAGTAATGAACCAGAATGGGATAGCCAGAATGCGGTGGTAGGATGTGCTATGGTATTTGAGAAGGCTTGAGTTTCCTTGATGACTCAGGAGGCAGCTTGGAACTTAGCTCCCAATTGCTGCTTGGGCTTCCCTGCTCCTGGTCCTAGAGCTGGCATCATTTGTAAGCACAAAAGCCCAGGAGCACAGGATAAGTGTGGGAAACAGGCTTGCCCTGCACGTTTGGGAACAACAGAGGGGAAATTATAGCTCAGAAAGGAAAGAACTTCAAAGTACATTTTAGTAGTCATGGTTGCTAGAAATGCAGTGGCTCATCTTTTCAAAAAGGAATTTCCCAGCAGCCCTTCTCTTTTCTTCTGTTTCCAACTGACCAGACACTACTTATTGAAAAGACCACACATATGTACACACAAACACACACACACCCTACTGCTGTGCTATCCATAAATCAACTGCATGTACATGTCCTGTGTTGTGCAATGATCATACTATCACAATGACTAAAACTTTTTAGTGTCTTAATGTCTCATAGAATAAGTCCCTCAACTTTGTTTGTCAAAGCTCCTTGGCTATTGACCTCTGTACTTGCACAGAAATCTGAAAACCAATTCATTTATTTACACACACACGAGCCTGCTGGGATTTTGCTTGGTATCTTTAGGTGTAATCTTTAGATCAACTTGGATAAAAATTGGCACTTCAATGATAAATCTTCTTATCCATGAACATGGTATGCCCATCTCATTTAGGATTTTTAACAAGTTCTCTCAGCTATGTTTTGTAGCTAGAAATCTGGCATACCCTTTGTTAGATTTAAGGCTGATTATTTTTTTGTTTTCAATACTATTATAAATTATTACTGTGCTTTGTGTGTGTTGCCAATACAACTTTGTGATTTACAAGTCAGGATAGGTACTCCTCCATCTTTTCTCTTCCCCTTGACCTCAGCCTGAATCTCTGCAAGGGAAGAGACTCAGGTCTTAGCCAGTGGACAAGCTGATTCAATGCCATCTTAGACATCCCCTGCCTGAAGAAATAACCCAGTTTGGGCACTCAGGATGTTTGCTTGTGTATCCTCCAGCTTTCTGCTTCATATGTTCAGTTATTATTTAGATATGTAAAGCCAATGGAGTGATAGATGACTGACATTGAACAGGTAGTTTACTATTCACACTCCCCAAGAGGAAAGGGCACACTATGTCATGGGGGTCACTGGGATCAGTCAGGAGGCAGATGGAGAAGAGTGGTTTCCCTGGGAAGGAATATAAGGCAAGCAATATAAGAAGGTTTAGGATTGCCTAATTTGCCTAGTGTCAGCAGATCTGGGGGTATGGTCTATTCCTAGTCATTTGATACATGGCCCTGGGTGATTGGGGCAGGTGGCTAGTGACCGGTGTGTGAAAACCCCAATAAAAGAAGTTTTGGTGGGAGAGGCTCTGGAAAGCTTCTTTCACTCTTCACAGTGCATGAAGTCACATTTCAATACTTGTCTCTATCTTTTCCTTCCCAGAAAGGAAGTTTGGTGTCTTACATTATGCTGACCTGGGGTGAACAGTGTAGAAATCCATAAGGAGAAGCTCACCTGTCTTAGCTGGGGCCTTCCAAAAGCCAACACCAAGACAAGGATTCAAGTACAAGTATTTTATCAGGTAGCAATCCTATGATTCACAAAAAGGAAGTGGGAAGAGAGATGGAAAAGAGGAACACCCATAATAGGCACCCTAACAAACAAATGGCCAATGTGGACAGCTGAACTCCGCTGAAGAATTCTGGAACGCACTATAGCACATGTACCTCGCTCACAATTATCCCACTTGAGGGGCAAAGAGTGAGCATCTTTACTCACCAAATCTCCTCCAGCCTGGTTGGATGATATTCCCCGAGCACATTCATTCCTAAACAATTGTCTAGTAGGCAGATGGATTCCGGCAACAGAAAAATCCCTGTGGCAGGGGGATGCAGGAACTGGCAGAGGTTGTGCTACACGAAGGCGTGAGGTTGTGAGCAGTGAACAGCATCCCTACAGTAGTCTGCAACAAGGCCCAGGTCTGCCTAATCACAGAGCAGAACTCAGCCTTCCTCAGATACTTGCTCTGTGTGTGCACCTGACTGTCTCTGGAACTTGATGAGAGTGGGTGCTTATTGTCTGAGTGCAGCAGCTGGGCTTTCCTGACACCCTCACAATTGCACACACACACACACACTTCTTGCCCTGCCCTCCCTGCCCCAGGCAACAACACTCCAATGTGTCTACTAGTTCTGACAGCTGGCCAAGTCAGCCTACAACTTCCACTCACAGTATCGACTAGGCAGAAGATGAGATGCACCCATCTCTGTGTCAGAGACTTCGGCACAGGTGATTTGTTTAGTGGAGTTCTGCACAGAACACAAGATGAGCTGTCAGAGGCTCTGGCTTCAAGTCTTGAGCGCTGCTTCCTGTTTGACCTCAGCCTAGTCTCTGCACCTAAGTTTCCACCTCTGCATCTGGGTGGCAACGTCCACCTGTGTATATTGCCATGTGCTGGTTGCATAGGGAGAGAAATCAGGACAGCTAAAAATGTTACTGAGACACAAATAAGAAAAGAAATTACCACACGTTGCTCTCTAGAGGGAACAAAAGGAAGTGCTGCTAACAGTTAAGAATTACTGAGTGCCAGATGTGTGAGAGCAATCTGCTGAGCATTGTGTCTTCCCACGTGGGGAAGATACAACTATTGTCCCTGTTTTTACAAGTGGAGAAACAGGAGCACAATGTGGCTAAGTAACTGAGCTGTGGTTGCTATGTGGTGTCGCCAGGATTTACTACCAGGGTCCCCACCAATAACCACTACACCTCTCTGTATCTAATTTTCCTTATAATTCAGTGCTTTCGTTAGAACTATATTTCATTAGTGAATTAACTTGGAAGAATTGAAATACTTGATTAAAAATATACTTAAATATCTGTGTATGTGCATACATAGTGTGTGTCTGCATAAAGATACTAATAAAGTTTTGGATTTTTATCTTGTATCCAAAAGTCTTACCACATTGTTATTTGGTCTAACATTTTTTCTGCATATTCTCTTTTATTTTCTCCACAGAATACCATGTTATCTCAAGAGAGATTTATTGTGTCCTTTCTTAATTGGTTTATCATTTCTTTTTTTTTTTTTTTTTGGGTCCGGTCGTGGGGCCTGAACTCTGGGCCTGGGCGCTGTCCCTCAGCTCTTCAGCTCAAGGCTAACGCTCTACCACTTGAGCCACAGCACCACTTCTGGCTTTTTTCTTTTTGCTTATGTGGTGCTGAGGAATCGAACCCAGGGCCTCAGGCATGCAAGGCAAGCGCTCTACCACTGAGCCATCTTCCCAGCCCGGTTTATCATTTCTTACTTTATTTTCTCAACCTCAGCTTTACTCAAATAAAATGCATAAAAATTGTATGCATTTTCAATTTGCAATGAACTGTGTTATATATATATATATATTTATATGTATATGTATTTATGATTAAATGAAGCTGAACTAATTAGCATGTCCATCTCACATTCTTTCCACTTGTAGTGAGAACATTAAGATATATTCTTTTTACTATTTTCATGTGTGCAATGCATTGTTATTAATCTTTATCTTTTCTTATTGCATTATCCAGCACCTCTAGAATCAGTGTTACATAGAACTGGTGGTATTAGGTATTATTGCCTGTCTTCACTTTAATGAAGCACCTCTTCTATTTCACCATTTGGCCATTAAGGAATATACTAATTGTAAGTGATATTTGATGAATTAGCAAGGTTTTTTTAAATTCCTAATCTAGTAAGGGATTTATTCTAGCATAGATTAGATACAGTTTAAAATGCTTTCATGCATGGCATTTACTGAAATAACCATCTGGGTTTTATTGTCTGATCTATGAATATCATGTATCAGTTTGCATTCATAGATAATAGTCATGCTGAACCATCCTTGAATTCCTGAGGTAGTTATTGGTGCTTCTATTTGATCATAAATTATATTTAATATGATACTAAATTAGAACTGCAGCCATGTTA